TGAATATTGCACATTTGCCTCCTAATTTTACTTACAACCTGCATCAGTGTTCAATAAAAACGGATTAAAAGTTGAGCCTCTGTTACTGAGAAACAAACACCTAGCTAAAAAGACACACATTTTTATTAAAAGCACTACTAGAAGGAGGGAATCCCCTGCATCCATTATTTACAACATATTGTACATTTACAGCTTATCCACAAATAATATCCCGTCTTCACTGACATCAAGCTGCAGGGGGAGCTACAGTATTATTCCACAATGGCTAGTGACACAAGCTAACAAGCTAGTAGACAGCACAACCACTGAAACATCATAATGGCAGTACAGCTCAGCCCACATTTACATGCATTTTCAAAGCTCTTGTGCTTGATGTGATCCCAAGTCTTGGTGTGTAGTTATGTGTTTTTACTTTCTTCGAAGGCACTTCCTGATTAGATTTTCTTTTATTACAGATTTGTCTCGTTGTGAGATAATTCCTCTAAATGTTAACACTTGATTTTTTTTTTTGTATTCTGGCCCACCTTGATGACACATTGGGACAGGTTGTTGTGCGTGGGAGGAATGAGAGAGGGTTGAACTTGCTCGCACTGGAGGCATTTACAGGAACACCCAGCTCGTTTCTTTGCAGCAGCTCTGACAATTGTACAATCTGGTCGAGCGATAGCTAGAATGATTGGCATTTCAGACCTACGGTTTCACGGCAGTGCATCAGGAGACATCAATGGGAGGCCACATGCTCGCAAGAAGAGGTGTGGACTCTACATCTGTAGTGCTGTAAGATGCTGATCTCTGATAGTCACATAGTTTGTTTCAGCGTCAGTAGTAAATCCACCTCGAGTTCCCAGCTGATTATGTGCACACTCACGTTCTCCAGTAATATAAATAAGGTGATGATTGCAGGTCTGTTATGTCTCATGATCGTTCTTTTATCTTTCATTTCCTCGTTCTTAGAAACTGGCACTTTAACTAATAAAGTCCCTAAATAATCTTTGTTCTTTTAAACATGATTTAATGTAAACAATCCTTGATGTGTTGATCTTAATGGAGTGTGCTGGCCTTGCTGTTGGCGACCATGCTCGCAGCCTGCATGACTCTGTAGCGCTCTCGGAGGTTCCGCCGCCTCACGTGCTCGTTGGTGATCTCTATGACGTTTGCTACGGGGAACCAGCCCTTCTGACCGTCGGACAGGCGGATGCCTTCATAGCAGCCTGTGAGAAAAGAGGCGAGGTAGGAGGAGGGATATGGGAGGAGGACAAACAAGGGGAAGATTGGAGGTTTCTGTTTCGTTCATGCAAGAAAGTCAAAACAAATCAATAAACTGCTACGGTGGAGGGTTCGGGAATGAGGCAGTTATGAGGATCGGGGTGTATAAACAAGCAGAGTCAAAGGAAGGGTAGTGTTAATGGTACAAAGTCATGTCAGGACATTCAGTTTTGTTTTGATAGGAAACCTGTTATGAAACCTTTTTAGCCCGTCTAGATCCTCAGAAACTGATAAGCCAAATACAGAGAAACAGGAGAATGTCGTAGTAACATGACGCAAGCACAGATTTATATCACTTTTGTTGGTTCTCTGTAAAAGAGGAAACGTTTCCTATGTGTGATCGTCTTTTCTCTACTGTCTCCTTGACAGCCTGATAAATAAACAAACAACTCATTGGTCCAGCTCCTGATTTCTTACCCTCGTTGGTTTTACGGATGACGTTGATGATCTCAGTGGGCTCCAGGGTGAGCTCGTCGGCCTGCTGGGCAATGTACGGCTCCACACACTGCACCTGAGGACAATCTGACACACGTACACGTGGATGTAAGAAAGTATGGATATGAAACACACACTAACACGTGGTGTAGTATCACTTTGTGTTTACTGTGTGTGTGTTTCCTCACCCCAGTCTTCATAAATCACTTCATCATCGTCTCTGTCTGGGTTGGTCGGGTTAGGGAAAGCCGCCATCCACCTGTGCATGTCCGACCTGTTGACAGAAACGTCGTAATTTGCTCTTGAAGTCTTAAGTAACACGTTAGGAGTTAGTATTTAACTGTAGATTGTAAGGAAGCTACTCACTGGGAGGGAGCTTTAAACAGCCTCTCCATCATGCGTCCCTGGTGGTTTTCCAGCAGGGTGAGGTTGAAGCAGTGCTCCAAGGGGCCGCCGCTGCTCCCACTTTCGTCTAATGGCTGCACCTGCACCAGAGAGCGATGGGCGTGGTCGAGTACCACAAACCGTTCCGCACTGGTCAAGAAAAAGGAGAATCTATGTTGTATCCCATTGTTGTGTGTTTCTTATCTGATATGTGGCAACAATGGCACATGTAAAAAACTCTTCTCTTCCTCTCAACTTTATTCCCTCAAACGCTACTTCCTGCTACATTTGAGGAAGCCTGGAGTTATTTCAGTAGTGATGACACCATTAAAGAGTTGTGATTACTTTTGCGGTCAGTGTTTCCATTGTTTGAGTGGCATTATGACAGCTTGTCAAAAGAGGCAGATATTGTCTTTGCACAGCTTCCAAGGAACATGTCTTGTTCCCCAGCCTAAACATATGAAATATACTAGAGAACAGTGAGTGAGTACCACCCTCCCATAACCTATCAATACCCTTATTGTTAACAAGGTTAATGATAAACCATCACTTGTCATCTTGAATATATATAGTGCAGTGCATAACTATGAAAGAGCACTTATCCTGAAGGTAATACATAATCTCAGTTTACAGGATAACTTACAGGAGAGGGTGGCTTTATAATATTGTAGACAAACTGCTTCGACAGGGTTTACTAATAGTTGTATAATAGGTGTGGTATAGACAGGGCTCAGCAGTGCTGACCTTGTTAGTTGTCAGCTCTCTACAATTGTATGTGTGCAGACCGCTGTGCATGGTCAGAAGTGTTTGGCACAAGTTGACCTTCTGCAGGAATATTAAGAGGAACTTGTCCACCTAGTGATCCTCTCTAAGATTAAGACACACTGGAAATTCAGCTTTAATGTGAAAGAGCTAGCAGCCTCTAGCACGCTAACATGCTGATATTCAGCAGTTGTAATGTTTATACCATGTTCAGCAGTTTTGTTTAGCACATTAGCATGTATTTGGTTATTAATCACTGAAATTTTGACCTGATGAAAGCGTTGAAGATCACAAAAGTGATGAGAATTTATCCTGATTGGGGCTTGAATGCGTGCAACCAATTTCATTGCAATCCATCCAATAGTTTTTCAATTGGTGCTGAATATCGACTCTGCCTCACCCTTTCTTTGCAGCGATGATGAGTAGATCATTGAAGAGGAAGAGGTTGACGGGGGTGAACTTTGCCCTCATGTTGAAGAGAGTTCCTCCTTTGGACATTTCCTGCAGCTCTCCCTTCTTCTCCAGATATCGTGTTTGGGAGATGATCGGGATGGCCTGGAGACAGACAGAAACATTTATCTCTTCGTCAAAACAGAACTGCTGACAAATCAAAATCATTTATACGTTTATTGTGTGCATTGGAGTTTACCTTGAGCTTGTCAAACTCCAGTGTTTGAGAGATGTGGATCAACTCCTCCATCTGTCTCATCCTTCCCACCTGTGTGTTACACTCGTCAATGATCTGTGTGGGGAAAAAAAGAGAACAAGATTATGAAATAAACACTTTTAATAATTTAAAAGATTTATTTTTCTTTCCACACCCATATTCCCTTCAGCCGTTGTTATATAAAACTGACTGTGCCTCCCTGGGAAACACACTCGAATGACTCTCTGTTGGACCAGACTGCCTCATGCTGCCTTTGTCCTCAGTGACACATATGACTCACTGTCACTGTGGCGCTCAATCAATAGGAAATCCTTCACTCAAACAATGGCTGACGTCAAATTTCCAGAGGCATGCGAGGCCCTCGAGAGTCAAATTATTTGGATTTGTAGGCAGAAGGGAGGGTGAAGAGTGAGGGGTGTTTACCTTTGACACCGAAGCCAAAGCCTTGGAGGCCGTCTGCTCCTCCGCCGTCCTCTCCTTTGTTCTCTTCAGGATGTTCTGAAACGGCAAACAACAACTTTCTATTTTTGCAACGGACAAACAGCATCAGCAGGATCATTTATTTTTCCATCTGCAATCGAGGTCATAAGGTTGAGGCGAGGTGTGCCCATGTGTTTGCTCACGGTTCGAGAAGCAGTGACGAGTTTGAGCTGGAGATAATGCTGGAATGAGGACATACCACAAAGCCACACACCGTGATGAACTCTTTCTATATAAGACTATTGACATTCAATGGCTTGTAGCAGGAGCGGAGAAGGGTCAGTTATACAGAATGTAGCGTGGCTTTCTGCTCAGTCACTTGAGGAACTAATATAAAGGCTGCGATTGCTAACTGCATTGTGGTCATGCACCACTAATATAGCTGTGGCACTGAGCTCCAGAGCTTTGTTCTCACAGAAGAAAAAGCAAAAGCAAACATATTTATAGTTCTTCATTTATAAAGCCTGCACACTGACTCAAAACCACATGCATTTCCTTCTTAAGCAGATTAATTCTACCTTACAAAGACAGAAACAGTCTTTTTAAATACATCAGTAGTTTAGAGTCAGTGTGCAGATGTTTTCCACTGATGTGGTTTTCCAGCCCTAGCCAAATGATGTGTGTATAATTATGACATTATGTGCCATTAAGCTTGTTCCTGAGTTAGATGAGAAGACTGGTACCACTCTCATGCCTCTACATTAAGTATTAAATTGGAGCTAGGAGCCAATTAGCTTAGCTTAGCATGAAAACTGGATGCAGGGGACAAAACAAGTGCAAGCCTGGCTCTATAATACTCATATTAAAGCCTCAGTAAGCCTCTAAAGTTAAGTAATTACCAAGATGTATCTCTGTTGTTTAATCTCTACACAAACTGAAATAAAGATTTTACAGGGAGCTAACGATTATGCTAACTATTTATTGGCAAACATTAGTCGGACCGAAAGCCCGGCTACCAGTCTTTATGCTAAGCTATGCTAATTCCCTCCTGTGTGTATTTATCCATCTATTGTTTTTTATTTTTAAAAGCAGCAACATGTGTATGGCAGGAATTCCCATGATGCCACTCACCTCAATGAGCATTTTAATGCGTGTTATTCGCTGGAAGGGCAGCAGCAAGAAGGACATGAAGGGCAGCCGCTGGCATTGAGGCGACTCTTGTAGACGAGTGATGACCGTAGCAAACTGCACGTTGTTCTTCCTGTAGACGCACATAAATGCACAATTACATGCGGCTGTAATGTTCATACACTTGTAAAACAGAAAAGGGGTGAGAAAGGTCGTTTTAGAGAACAAAATATCATTGAAAAACAGTATTTTATCTCATCTTTTGTGCTCCTGTAGTGAAGAAATTCAATCTTTCTATCTGACAATCAATGTCTGATTTAGCGTTTAGTTTTCCTGACAAATAAAAAATGTTGTGGATGAAAACAACATATGTGAGAGTAAGCTTTTCCCAATTTCTGTGACTGTGATTGTGATTAAAGCTACAAACATTCATCTTTGAGAATTGTCACTTGTGGAAACAACTAATAATAAAAAAATAAGAAAGTTAAGACTCAACCAGCCTGATTCTCAGATTCTAAGAAGACAGACACTGATTCAGAAGGAAAAGACAGACTGCGGTTCCTTACATGAGCAAGGTGTAGGTCTTTTCTTGGTAGATCTGGTTGCGGACGTAGTCGATGTAGGCTGGGAAGTTGTGCTGGGCGTGGTAGTGGATTATGTCGCAGATGTCAGGGAAGACGAGGTCTTCAAATATGCGGTCCTCCAGGTCTTTGAGGAACCTGTGGAGTCAGAAAGCCAAGGTTTCACTAAAAACTTAAAAGTGACTTGAACCATAACCAACAACGAGACCAGTGGTCAACTCAAAACGGGCTGTTTAGCAGACATTTGCAGGATCTTTTGTGTCAAAAATTAAAATCAAACATGGACTCGACAAACACTTACAAAGCTTTAATTGACCATCGCCTGGCCTCAGTTCAGGAAATGACTCATTACATCTTTCCTTTTCTTTTCCTATCTGTTGGTATCTTCGTTCCAAGCACCGAGTGACCTTGTGGTAGTTCAACTCATAAATCACCTTCCTATTTCCCTTTTCCTTTATCTCCCTCCGTCCTTCCTTCTGTCATTTCTCACCTCTCGCTGACCTCCCGGACCCTGAGGATGTTGGAGAAGAGGGTTTTCTTTTCTCTGATGATCATCGTCTCCTCCAGCTCCCGGCTGTCCAGGAAGTGTTCGGTCAGAACTCGCAGGGATCGAAGGTAGGAGGCCTCTGATGTCAAAACCTCAAACATACTCTGCCAGGGACAAAAAACAAACATTAATTTGCAGCCTTAAAATTATTCTGTGGTGTGTCCCATTTTGTACAGAAACGAGCAAAGAATGAAGATAGAAAAAAGAAAGTAAATAAGCGTCTTTTTAATTATGTAAATGTTGGTGATTAAATGGTACCACAAACTGAATAAAATGCCTTTTTTAAGGGCAACCCATGGCTCAAAGCATGACTCATATCTAAAAGTTTTAAGAATTTCTAGTGAATAACAGTAAGAATGATTGATATTAATGATTTTTATTAATATGTAACCCATTATATAAGCAAAAGTGTTCCCAAACAAGGCCTCAAATGCCATGTAATTAAAATACACCTTGGAAAAAGTAAGGGAGTAAGTAAACAAAAAGCCAAATAATAAATTAAAATGTATATCTCTTTTAAATAATCACTATGAAAAATATCCATTTATATATTATATTATATGGAGTAGAGCAGAGAAACAGAGCAGCCAGCTGAGAGAGACGTTGATGTTAAGGTTATATGAAATGCATCTTAGTCCACTACTCCATTGTGACAATACATAAAAATCAATTTTAAATGAATCCTTGTAATTATCGTTATCCATACCATCAATTCCTTTTAATACAACCTGTTTTATTGATGTATTTCAGTCACTTAAATCAAATAAAGAAAAGGTTTATTTGCAAGCTTTCAACGTCTTACACTTTGTATTTTCTTAGTTGAGTTAAGAATTTGTGTGGCATTTTTCTTTTTATTTGACGGTAAAGAGACATTAAGGACACAGGGGGAGAGATGTGGCGACGTAGGAGTTTCCTGGCTGGACTCCTGTGGTTATATGTTAATGCGACTAAACAATCTGCTGCTAAGAACAAAACTGCATCACTTCCTGAATCTATGTGTTTTCCTTGAAAAGTCCTGCCTGACGCTGGAAAGTTAGAGTGACTGTAAAAGCTTTCATGAACTGGGGATAGAGTGAATCAATATTATATTACAGCAGCGAGTGATACAGTGGGGCAGAGTGGGCTTTAATTTATAAAAAAACATCACATTATTACTTTAAGATGTGATTTAAACCTTGATACTGCATCTCCCATTTCTCTTTCCTCGCATCATTGATTTCTCTTGATGTAATCTCTCCCCAGTACATTAGCCTCCACCTCCTCTCCTCACCTCCTGGTACTTGCACTTCTCAGGGGTGAGCTGCTCCAGCACGCCGCTCTCCCGCACATTTGGGAGGTCTTGCCACAGGGTGCTCTGACCCGGTGTGGGAATAGGACTGCTCCTGAGCGCTCCATTTCCAGTCCCAGTCCCAGTCCCAGTGCGACGGGCTGTCCAGTCCATAGCGTAGTCCGCGCTAGTTTTACTGATGTTACGGCAAACTGTCTGCCGTCGGATCTCCTTGGTGATGACGGTGGCACGGTACGTCTGGTACAGAGGCTCTGAAACAAGTCACGAAAGGTTCCTAATAGTAGACCCTGGTATACAAGTAACAGATATACATGCTGTCCCCAACACATGATGCAGACATGATGGATCCTGCTTCCAAATGCAGTTAAAAACTGAATTGTACACTGAGTTAACAGTTTATTACCTATACAATCTAATACACCACCCCTATAATGATTCATTTATGTAGTTTTTACAGTTTGTGACAATGTTCGAGAGGTGTAGATTATATTTTAGCCTTTACATATTATTCATATTAAAGTCAATCGGTTTATTTCATTCACATTTTGTCCTATTTAGTAAAATGAAAGTGCACCAGAAAAAAAAAAACCTCAAAAATCTCCAACATTGCATCATCAACAAATGTGAAACAACTAAAAAGGGTTAATGAAAGTAGGATTTAGAGGAAGGCCTTTATTATTAGGTTGTAAAAAGGTATGAAATAAACTGGTAACTGTTGAGTGATTGTTCCCTTTAATAACCCAAACAGTGTGATTTGTTCACCGACAGTTTTGTTAAAAAAAAAAAAAGATCAGTACAGCCGGAAGCTGTGTCCCATTTCAAAACTACACACTAATCCTAAACTGGTTTTGAATGTGTTCACACAGGAACGGAGACACAAAAAAACGTGTTGGTGCTTGTATTGTATCACCTCCTGTTATTTTAAAATGGTAATTTATGTTCCCTTTTTTGTATACTAATGGCAAAACAGTATGTAAACCAAACAGAATTTGGACATTAAATAAGTTTGCAGCTAACAGATTGAATTACTGATTGAAGATGAATATTTGCTGATAAAAATGATAAAGGTGCATTGCTCTCATACTGACATTGTTATCTGTTTACTGTGATATCTTTGTGATACTGTGACTGTGTCCTGTTAAGTCTGTTTATGTTTTGTTTGTGTCAGGTGTCAGTCTTACCATCCTGCAGCCGGGACTCCCAGCTGAACGAAGACTCCTTCCTGAGGGAACCTCTCCCGACCGGCCGTCTGAAACCGGAAGTGTGGAAAGAGGAGAAAAGGATCAACCAGGGAGATATGATACCAAACTGTCCGAACACAGAGTTAATTATATAATTAATTCCTCAATACACACAAGAACATTGACGCTGACTTTAAGGGTAAGGCTGGTGAAATACTATATTTTCCTTATCGTCAACAAATCCCATAAAAAGAGCAAAACCAATAGAGTGATAGTCCGTCTGTGAATACTATCCAACTTCTGTCTGTGGCTCTAAGCTCCAAAACAACAACAACAAAAGGCTAGTAATAGTTTCCTAAAACAGCTGGGCACCTTTTAGCAAACATTAACACAACAGGAGTAAACAATGCATTTGTTGGGGACTATTTTCAGATGCGGATTAATACAGATTTTGTGTGCTAATGGGTAATTAGAGCAGGACAGTGTATGTTGAAATGATTAATGATGAACTATAGTGCCCTGGTTCATTGTGGCCCACTGATGTGTTTTTAGTAGTTTTTAGTAGTTTTTTATATCACAGTAATAAGCTACATCAGGCTTTGACTACACTTACTTCTATACTTGTTAATAGGATCAATGCTTTTGATCTTTTCATGGGATTTGTTGACAAACTGAAGAACATTGAATACTGTCAGACTTGTAAGTAAAAGTGAGGGTCAGAGTGATAACTCACAGCTCTTCCACACCGTCCTCTTTCTCTCCTTCATTCCCTCCATTCTCCTCTTCTTCTAAAAAGAGAAAAAGTAAATGGTGTCATCGCTTTGGATTACACAGAAAATTAACAACTTGTGCATCATTCATAGCTCATCTCAGGCAAAGATGATGATGTTTGTTCAGCACAAACCTTTTTTCAGTGTGAGGGATTGCACTGAGGCACTGCTGAGCCTCCTGGGATCGGTCTTTGGCGGTGGAGGTGGGGGTCTGTGAGGGCTGGCCGGGGGTGGAGTGATGGCGTGTTGGGGGCTCAATCCGCTGGCAGTGGAGCCGCTGGGGGACAAGGGCCGCAAGTTGCGCCACTCCTCCATCGTGGGCTGGGGGAGAGGAATGCCGCCCCGGTGCACCGGAGTGAGGCTGCGGCTGTCCTGAGTCACGGGCATCCTTGGCGGGATGGCGGGCGGCACGTCGGTTGGGCTCGAGGTGGGTTCTGCGTTAGCCTGAAACTCAGATGTCGGGTCTGATGTGCTGTAGGACAGCTTAGACCGACGGGCCGGTTTACGCACTTTGATCAGAGGGATATCCAGTTCCTTGATCACGTTTGTGGTCTTTTTAGGGTCGACCACTGGAAGTGTGGCCTCATAAATATTTTCCTCTTCGTTTTGGGTGGGCAGGTGTTGGATCTGTGCCGACTGAGCAAGTTTAGGGGGAACAGGGGGAGACTGAGAGCGACTGACAGCAAGGGTGAGAACGGAGTGAGGGCCCGGGTCTGAACGTCTCCTGTGACCCTCTGCGATCAAAACATCCAAAGACTGGTGGAACTTTTTCTTTTGCTGCGGCACTTCACTCTCATCGACCACGATAGTCCTGTCCCACACCTCGCCGTCCTCTTCCCCTGCCTCCACATCCTCGTCCCAATCCTCCCCATCCTCCGCCCTCTGCTCTTCCCCATCCATCTCGTCCTCGTCTCTACCCTCCTCCCCATCATCGTCCACGTCCACAGGCACCCAGACTAGTTTCATGCCGGGCCACTGGAGGTGGCACACGCAGCTGCAGCTCGGGTCGCAGCAGGGACTGAGAGGCACATGTGGACTGTGCTCCGCCTCCGCTTCATCTCCTCCAGTCAGCTGAATCTCCACCTCTTTTCCATCTGGCGCTGCATCAAAAAGAAGCAACAAAGATTGAATTCTTTGAAAAGTTTATGAAAAGGGAAGAAAATAATCACCATAAACTGCTTTGCATATTTTACTCCTTCCTGATGTTGCTATAAGCCCAGGCTAGAACACATTAACAACGAGTTAATGAGAATTTGCTGTTTTCTTTTCCTACATGTGCTTCCCCAGATAGGGCGGCACACTTTTATCAAGAGCTGTTTTTTTTTTTTTTTTAATTCCACCAGCAGCAGCTGCAGATGGCGCTCCCTGGACTGTCGAGTCAGCAGTTCATCACTATGCAAATACAGCACATCTGCAAGTGGTGTGTTCAAATATTCATGGGACGTTTGGAGCGTTTTTTCGGGGGGAAAATTCCAATATTGACAAAAGGAAATGGAAGAGGTTGAGTTAAGAGACAGGAGAGTTAGGGGGAAGGTTAAATGGGTCAGTGAGTGAAGTCCAAACTTCAACAATCCAATGTTTTCTGTATCAGCCAATACAGATGTCTTTTTAAAAACATAGTTAAATGAAGATCTAAAGAGGATTGAGCTTCATTTTGTTGCTAATGTAATAGTTGCATTAAATTTAATCTCCATAATCTCTCAAATATCACCAATAAGGCTAAAACTATAGTTCAATTTACTAATTAATCATTCTACAGGAAATTACCAACTATTCTGATACTGAATTAATCGTTTTCATTTTTCACATTCTTTGGATCCAGCCTCTCGTATCTGAGGATTTACTGCTTTTCTCTGTTTCATATGATTGCAAATTAAAAACATTTGTGTTGTGGACTGTTGGAAGACAAACGATTGACTGGACAATAACTGACTGATAAATCAATACTGACAATAATGATTAACTGCAGCTCTAATCAGCAATGAAAAGAATATTGAAATTGTCTTTTGATGCTGATATCGATAATGATGGCATGTGATTACTTTATATCGGTGCAAAATCTGCTGTCCTGCTTAAAGGCTTCCTGTTGCTTGTGGGGGAACCAAAACAAGGAAGTGATAGTAAAGCACAGTACGTGTAACTGGGGAGGGAACACACATATCAAAACTGTCCAATGTGACAGCTAATATTATGCCCCTTCTCTGGGTTCCTCTTTTGTCAAGTCAGGACAAAGCTGACCATCAAAGATGACACAGCAAAGTTTGTCCTGTTTAAAATTAAAAGTGACACAGGTATTTATGTTCTTTACCTTACGGCTGTATAATCAATAATCAGAGGATAACAAGGTGATTAAGTGGGTGATGGATATAAACGCTTGCGTGATGTCTTTTCTTACTGCAGAGCGTCACTTCCTGCTTTCACATTACTCACACACACACACACACACACCCTCACACACACACCCAAACTCTCTTCTACACACAAGTGATCAGCTGACTGACAGAACCTGTTTATGGTTGTTGGTTCAGACTAGCCAGCGACACCACACAACAACAACAGCCTGACACTCACATAGTAAAGTCTTTACATGCATTTGTTGCATCAACTAACAAATGTCAAATAATGTAAAATAAAGATGTATTGCAGTTTTATCAATGAGATTCACTCTGGATCTCTGCCAGGTGTGTGAGCCTGTCAAAGATTACAAGAAAGGAAAATGAAATACAATTTATCTCTTCATCTTATCTTTGTTCTGCTGACTAAAAGCTGCAATGAACAGCTTTAAATGTTCCAGCTCTGAAAAGGTAAAAGTCTAAAACCTTTTATCTTTTCAAGGAAGGATGTGACACAGCTCCCTGATGTTTACCATATAAAGTAAGAGTGACTTTATTATTCTCCCAAAGGAAATTTGGTTGGCAGAAAGGCAATAATGTATATTATGTGTGATATATTCAGTACAATACAAAAATAAATAGAAAAAAGTAGAAGATCCAGCCAAAGACGGACACAAATCTAAATGATCTAAATAAGTAACATCCACTGTACCTGATCGACCTCCTTCCACACTGATGCTGTCCCCCTCCTCCACTCGTTCGCTCTCTTTTGGCTTCCTGGTCCTCTTCTTAGGTAGAGGAGGTGCCTGCTCTCCTCCTATCTGGAGCGGCAGACTGGCGCGTCCTGGTTTGGGCTTTACCGTAGGCGGCCTTTTGAACCGTTTACTTAGCGTGACTTCTGCCGTACCATTGGTTAGTTGCTCCACCGGCTCGTTCGCCGCACTCTCCTGTTTGCTAAACTTGTTCACGATCCTCTTGACCTTCCCTTCAGAAAGGCTCGTGCTGCCGCCTCCGTCTCCCGAGGGAGGGGAGCTGGCTTGTGGTGACGGTTTTGGAGGGATCTCCGGTCTCAGTTTTGCCTCGGGTTTGAGGGGCGAAGGCGATGTGGACCGCTGGGATGCTTCCGGGACAGACATGGTAGCTGGAGTCTTTTCTTACGGTGTGTTTCACTCCCAGCCCTGACCAATCAGAGGTCAGAGGTCAGTGTGAGCATCACCTGATGAGTAGAGAGAGAGAAATGATAAGAAAGTTTAAAACCAGTAAACTATTAACGGACTGATGGACAGTTAATATCAGCAGAAATAAAGTATCGATGCAGCAGAACCAGACATATCTTCTGGCACTTATGTTACCCACAATACAACTTGGCCACCGACAGTTCAGTCGCAGATTCAGATGTGTGGTGCTTGTAGCGGCTAATGTGGCCTCGAGCTGTTAGCCTCAAGCAGAAATGAGGAGCGGGCTACAGAGATCACATTCAGCGCAGCCCCGTCTGGAGCCACAAAAGGCTTCATGCAATGTTTTTCACATATGCAGCAGCACTCCAGAAGAGCTGCAAACAGATCTGAGGCGTTTACCTTTAACACTGGGGGGCCTCCCTACTTTCACCTCCTCGGGCCCCGTAAAAAGGACATAACCTGTGATATGGAGCCACAAGTAGACACGACTATATTATATTATACTTTATTAGACAGCGACAGCAAGAGGGGAAAGCAATAAAGGTCCCAGATCAAACTCTTAAACCCCAGGTTAGTGGTTCTCAACCTTTCTGGGACCCCTTAAAAAAAGAGATGATTCACTATAATTATAGTCATTTTCTGTAGCTGAAATGAACATGTGCTCAAAGCGATAAACACAACATAATTCAGTATTTCCATTACTGTATAATCCTAGAGTCAGACTTTGAGCTCTCTACTACAAATTCCCCGACTGTAAGGCCTCAGAGGAAAATGAACTTTGCCCCGTAAGGAGCCCGTTCCCACAAGTGAAACAGGAGATAATGTAAAGTGTGTTTACTGCACTGCAAGGTGACGCAGTGAAGGGAAATCCAGTTACAGATCATTGATTTTTCCATTATGAAATTCCCTGACATCACCGTACAACTTCCTATATTGTTATTTATTAATGACTCACCTCAATGGCTGCTATGTGTCAGCAGTATCAGAGCAGGGATGCCAGTCAAACATGAGAATATGAGAGTCTGCTTACGGAAACTGTACAACCTAATAATACTCTAAAGGTTTATTTTATTACACCTTGAACCTGTGCGTCATATGATTCATCTCATACGGGTGTAATTCAATTAATAGTTAACCACTGTTTCAATACAAACATACATTTACAATCGCCCTGTCCCAGCCTCATGGTCTTTGTAATCTTTCACCTTTCAGCTAATCGAGTGCTCTGAAAACGATATTTGCTCGAGGTCTTTACATAGATGTTATTACACTTGACCGCATGACAACTCTGCAAATGTTGTAATTACAGATGAACACACGCCACCGCCGCCACAAAGCTTCAAGATTCAAACACTGAGAGATTTCTGTATTCAAAGCAGTCTAAGTCATTCAAATGAAGCAGTCAAAACGTGGCACTTTCAGCCGGAGAGTCTATAAAAAGAAACATGATGACAATAATATAAAATTCAATTTCCATTCTGGGAGTCCAAATGGCCATGCTGCACATTCTTCTCACCATGTTTTTTTGATGTGTGTGCAACAGCTGATGCAACACCAGACCGAAGGAGGGTTAGTCATCTTCTGACTCATGCAGAGAAAGAAAAAGAAACAAGAGCTCCAGATCGCTGCTTTGTGAGACTCTTTGATTAATACCTTTTGCAATTTATTAACAGTTAATTTAGTGATTGTGTTTTAGGTTCATTGATTCATCTTTTAGTCTGTAAGTATTTTTAAAATGACAGATGTTTGTTACAGAGACCAATAGAGCAGCTGGCAGTCATAGGAACCTTAAGTATCTATATTTTAGTCACCAATGCTAGCAGCATGTCTTTATATATGTCAGTGTCTGTCTGTCTGTCTGTCTGTCTGTCTGTCTGTCTGTCAGTCAGTCAGTCAGTCAGTCTGTCTGTCTGTCTGTCGGACAGGATGAGAGAAATGGGAAATAAATGTCTCTTCAGTCGGAGGAGAAGTAGTTTCTGGGTCCAGAGGCACACCGTGGGACGGTCACTAACAGTAACTGTGTGCTTTATATCTCTGTGGTGGAAATCCATCGAGCTCTGCTCCTAACGGCGGGAAAAGGTTGGTTTTAGCGTTGTTAATGAGTAAAGTTCTCCAGCTAACTATTCCACGGATATAAGCTAGGTTAGCTACCGTGTGTGCGGTCTCTTTGTCCCTTAAACGAGCTTAAAGCCCGACATGAACCTGAACGCACCTGGCGCTAATTAAAGATGCCTTCAGGGTCCTATACACAGTAAGGTACAAGTGATAATTTCATCTGGTTTTATTTACTGCTGTATACAAAGTTAGCTACGGTGGAAGGAGGTTTTAATTATTAATTCTTAAAATAAAGTAACCTGATTACTTTCCATTACTTTGGATTACCTGCACAGTTTGTGTCACTGACTGACTGATGTTCAATATCTAACAATAAGAGTACGGCACAGCTCATAACCTGTACAGTGGACACAGGAAGTGTGTGTGAAACAGTTGATTGGGATGGAGTATTTCCTGTGAATATTGATCAGATATGAGTTTCCACAACCCTCTGTCTTTAACAGTCATACATACTTAAAGACAGATGCAATGTTCTATTCTCTTTGTTCTTTTAGCTCTTTGGTTGTTTGAAGGACGAGGCTGTGTAACAGTGAAGCCTCTGAGAATATAGCTTGTGTTCAGGTCTTCCTATGAGATTTATTTTAACTTTATATCTTAAATAATAATCTGATCTAAAGTGCAGGAGAAATCCACAAGAAACAGCAGCTGAACATGCCGAGAGGCTACCCTACGTGAGTGATAATTGGGGCGGGTGGGTGTCCTTCGTATAGTAAGATAGAGCAGTTGGTGGTGCGAGAACTGGAAGCGCACTGCGATGGCGAACACCCAGAGATTGTCCTGGCCAAAATCTTGCATAACTTTCAATCAATGGCAGGCGTTCTTTGGATTTAACGTGGCGCTGTTGATTAAGCATCGATGGAAACGGCAACAGAGTAGATAAAGCAGAACCAGTTTACAGCGCGGCTGTTTGCCTGCTTGGTGCGCTGGGTGCCTGCTAGGACTGCCTGTTCGTCGTCCTTATGGATCAGTCTTTTTGGGGTGATAGGTAACTCAGACTAGCTTCAGAAGTGTCGTATTACAAATGTCTCTGTTTAACTCAGTATTTGGAACAGATACAACGGAGCTTTTGGCCGGTCCCGCCCGGGCCGACCTCCTGATTGTGCTGTTTGAGGTCCCGCTACAGTGCGGTGACTGACGCTTCGCCTCCTCCCCCTGTTTCCACCTGGTCCACGGTGCACCTCATTCTTGAGGCGAGAATCGCAGTGCGGGATGATGAGTTTCTCAGCTCGCGCTGTGCTGACTCAGTCCTGTCAGTGATGACGGTGCCGTCGCGAGGGCCTGAGAGAGCTCAACAGGTCTCATTGAAAAGCCCCTACGCCCAATGGCAACCCGTCCGTTGCTGCCAGTGTCAGGCCAACGGTTAGTCTGTGGGTCAGTCGTGCTCCGCGCGCCCGCGGCTCGTCCGTGCGCCGCTCGCGGCCCTCCGTCCGGTCGGCCAGACGAACTCGTTTGTCCGATGCTGCTCCTCCGAACCTGTCGCCGCGCGCGCCCTGGTTTGTTGTCTGCAGCCGCGCGCCCCTGGGCGGTGGTTCTTGTGTGTGTTTGTGTGTGATGTTGGCGTCTCACTCGCTTCTTGGGATCTTGGCTAATCTTGTAGTTTATCTGGTTCTGTCTCCGCTCCGAAGTGTTCCGTCACGCCTGGACACTGAGCTCCCACCTGTCGGAACCGAGCCCTCCTAATGCGCTGTTTACAATCGCCGGGCTGCTCCTCTACTTTTTCCTGCTCTCAGAGACCGTGCGGGTTCTCTTGATGGCGCTAGCTCTCCTTCGCTCTCTCTCTGTTTGCGCTCTGTCTTCACTCCGCTTCTACTGAGTACTCGTATTCCTATCTCAGTCTCTATTCATCTCACTTCCCATTTCCCTCCTCTTATTCCCTCGTCCAGCGGCGCCTGTCCTTCTGTCAGAGGAGCGCGAGAGGAAGCCAACTGAGTCCAGGCTCATTGAGTCCAGCGTAATTGTCCACATAATTGCTACAGAGCGTCAATTGCTGCCAGAGAAAGGTCTGTCGCTAGAGAAGGGCCGTGACGCATGGTTGGACGCCATTGATAAAGTGATTGTTTTCGCCGCAGATGTAGTGAAGGGATGATGTGATGTGTGGGACGTTCACATGTATGCTGGTGTGAGCTGTAAATCCCCCCTGTGTGATTACCCGCTGAGTGAGAAAAAGAGAATACCATAGTAATCAGAGGGCATATTAAGATCGTGTGCGTGGACGATACGCGGACAGAGTACAAGGCGTACTAGTTGTTAGATGAGGATGGAAGCGGGCGCTAATTATGACGATCTTGGCTCGTGTATAGACTGTGCTGTAGGTAGGTGAAAGCAACTACGGACGGTGCTACATGTGGCAAGGTGGACTATTATGAGCACATTCTTAAAGACTATTGGAATTATTAAACAATCAGATGATTCCCAGAATGGGTCGTTGGTAGAAGATTGTCCAGAAATGCACGTTCTTCACTGTTGGACGCAATATATTCATGTTGCGCCCACGCCACGAACGTGGCCGACAGGCGCGCTTCACAGGGCTTTTGGCCATCGACGGCTACACAAATCAACGGACAACAGTTGGTTAGTTAATCATCTGTGAGGTGCACTCGCTCCTTCCCGCTTTTCCGTACATTGTTGAACAAAATCGCTGTCCCATAATGAACTCCTGGATGCGTGTGCATTTAAACTAGTAATGCGTACCCTCCGCTATGCGATCACGAGCAATTTTTCTCGCCTCTACTTTAAGTCACACCGATTTACGTCCTGCCTACATCTCTGTCATAGGACATTATTTGTTGTCTTCGCTCTCCTGTGTTACCCCAGATGGTAGGTTATCTCAAAGTGGATTTTTACCTCAGTTGAAGTCATTAACCATGTTCAATTTTGACACATTCCATACATTATTCCCATTTCTGTCTTCTTCGGGTCTTCT